CATTAGCACCTCTGAGTTAGCGTATCACTACTCTGAAGGTCTAAGGATAAAGGATATCTCGGATAAAGATGCATCATGGTTGTTTGCAGGGGGAGTACAATAGAGAGGGGCTGAAATGTGTAGCAATGTCATGACACAAATCCAGTGAGTTACATATGTGGATCTAATGTCAAAGTACATGGACAAAAGGACGATGTTTACACTGTGGCATTAATTTATGCCATTTTTTCATTATCATGGTTACCTGCAGACAGCAGTGGGGTACCCACCTAGGGATAAGCTGAGATAAAAGTGCCAAAGGGAGGAAAGAATGTCTGGATAAACAGCAAGGCCAGGATGAATATATGAAAGAGGAGGCAATTGCATAAGAACAATAAGAGAAAGGGCTAGAGGAAGATATTAATTGTATTGTACATAACCTTGTACAAGGTATATTTAGTTATAAGGAACACATAAGGTATAGACTCTACTCATTTAGAAAAATATGAACATCATGGAATCATAATATTTTTACTCGACGAAAAAAAACTAGAAAAAGGTCAATCCAATATATAATATTTGGTGGTAAATAGAATTTTTCCTAGATTTGTTACATTCTAGATATGAACTCTGATGTGATCACTTGAGGTGAAGGAGCGCCTAGAAGAGCCACAAGAAGCATGGATGAACAAAGACATCAAGTCAGATTAACTGTTCCTCTAAGCCAGGGTTGAATAGAAGTCTGGCTGGAATAGACCAGGGATGTCCAACCTTGGCAACTTTAAGACCAATGGGCTTCAAATTCCAGATTTCCCCAGCCTGCACCCCTGGATTAGACTAAGACCCCAACTCATCCAGCATTCTGTATTATACAGTGGCCAGCCAGATGTGTCCGGAAAAGATCTCCCATTTTCCAATTGGCAACACCACCTTCAGGGTTTCAGATGTTCTGGGAAAACATTGTTTCTCAGAATTTGACAGAAATAAATTTTGCAAGTAATAACTTGTGACGTACAGGGTGATGAAACAGAAGGATGAAATGGAAGGGAATATATTTATGTAAAAATAGTTGGCTGTTTTGAAGTACTTCAAAACAAATGCTAAAATGTTGCCTCTTGGAAACAAAAAAGCTTGTAGAATAGAAGACATGGTGTCCTCATCAGAAGAAGTCTGTGAAGCAAAATGAATTTATATACGCGTACTGATCTATTAATTTTTTGTTTGAATATTTCATTCTAAAATGCTATTCCCTCATGTTTTTTAAGGCTCTAACTCTCTGTGAATATTTTGAAGCAAAGAAGATGAACTTTCAGGACAAGAAAGTGATAGAGCTGGGTGCTGGGACTGGTGTTGTGGGAATCCTCGCATCGCTTCTTGGTATGTTGAATTAACTGCAGACAAGGGTGGGGAAGAATACAGTAGTCTTCAATTTACGATGACAGTTGAGCCCAAAATTTTCATTGCTAAGCAGGATATCTTTGTTTTCTTCCCTTTACAGGCAGTCCTCAACTTATGACCAAAACCGAGCCCCAGATTTCTATTGCTAAGTGAGACATTTGTTAAGCGAGTTTCCCCCCATTTTATGACCTTGCTTGACACAACTGTTAAGTGAATCACTGCAATTAAGTTAATAATATGGTTGTTAAGTGAATCTGGCTTCCCCATTGACTTTGTTCATCAGAAGGTCGCAAAAGGTGATCACAATGACGCTGGGACACCACAACCGTCATAAATATGTTAAGCTGTTAAGTGTCTGAATTTTGATCACCATGAGTATATCCCAACGATTGTGTGAAAAGTGGTCATTGGTCACTTTTTTCAGTGCTGTTGTAACTTTGAACGGTCACTAAATGAACTGTTGTAAGTCGAAAATTATCTGTACTTATTTTTTTTATTACATTTATATGCCACCCTGTCTCGTGGTTGCATATTGGTATATTATGCATAGAATTATTGACGTTTATGATGACGTTTGTCTGTATTCCTTCCTCTAAAGCAGAATAAAGGTTAGGGTTGAGTCAAGGAGAACAGATGGATCTCAAGGCTGCGCTTTTGTGCATAATATCTGTGGCCTGAATCCTTGAAAGCTTTTTGTTGTTCAGAGTTCCCTTCCTTTTTCTTTTCAGGAGGTCATGTAACCATCACAGATCTTCCTGTAGCTTTGAAGCAGATAGAGGAGAACGTCCATCGGAATTTGCCTGGACAGTGCATGGCACGAACCAGGGTTTGTGCTCTATCATGGGGTCTGGACCACAAGGACTTTCCTCAAAATTATGACCTCATCCTGGGTGCAGATATTGTCTATCTCCAGGACACTTACCCACTCCTGATAAGAACTCTTCAGCATTTATGTGGTGCTCAATCTACTATCTATCTATCTTCAAAAATGAGAGAGGAACATAGTACAGTGCTGTTTTTTGAGACTCAACTCCCTGTGCACTTCACCACAAAACTCGTCTTTAGGAATGAGGCTGAGAATATTAACATCTACAAAGTGACCGGCAAGAATTACATTGGGTAAAGACTATCTTTAGTATACCCAGTGCCATGCTCATTTTCTATCTTTTTTAAAAAAAAAACAAAAAATGTGATTTGAGAATTAAGAATGGAATGAATTTGGTGTCTTTCGCTAATTGCTATAAGAACAGATCTGCAAACCTTGCAAGGAAGAACCCTGTCTGAGAAACGGCAGTCCTACGAAACATATACTGTATTGCCAGTGGAAATTTAACAATATGAGGCAGCCATTATCTCTACTATCTTCATCCCCTAGTGCCTAGTCACTCAGTAGATTTCACAACTTAAATTTTTCTGAGGAGAAAGAGAAATCTGTTATGTTTTTAGGAGTGTGTATCTTCTAGGGGTGATATGGCTTTCAGGGATGGCTCATTTTGTTTTTTGCAGAAATGTTCAGAAGTGGATGTCTGAGGCACCAAATGGTTTATGTATGAAAGAAAGCACATTAACAAAGAGATGTTTTCTAGGTCCCCTAAGATGGTACTGTAGAATGAAAAGGAATCAGAACATGTCCAGAAATAATTGGACACAGATGATCCCACAAATAATCTAGACCCTGTGTCATGCAGAATGACAACCAACACCTTGAATTGTTGCAGAAATCTACTGGGAGTTTGTGCAGCTCACACAGTTGTGGTATTTTCACAGATATAGCAAGGTGGTCCATAACTACTATTGCTGCTGCGTTCTGGTTCAGGGGTAGGCTCCATGTGGTCAGCTCCATAGAGCACATTGCAGTAGTGCAAATACAAGGTGACCAAAGCATGAGTGACTATCCTAAAGGCCTCCTGCTCCAGGTATGAGTGCAAATGATGCACACGATGTATTTGTACAAAGGCTCTTGATTGAGCAGAAGTTGAAAGCCTAGGAGAAATCCCAGACTTGCACACCAATTATGTCTGGAGCAACGCAACCTCACCCAGAACTAGTGGAAAATCCCCAAATTTGGGTGGGGGACTAAACCCCATAGCTACTCAAGTTTTATTAAGAAGTTCAGTAGCATCACTTGGTTTGTCAAAAGTCAAAATATATAGCAATCATCAGCACACTTAGGATACCTAATCCTATGCTGATCTCACTCAGCTGGTTTGTGTAACTGTTAAATAAGATTGGGGGAAATGAAGAACTCTATGGGACCTTGCAAAGTGGGACCTGAGAGACCAAGGAAGGATAGGATAGATGCACCACTTTTATCCCAATCCTGCTAGAGGTGATCCATAAATACGATTAATGGCATCCTGTATTATACCTAGGGCGGAACACTATGAAAAGGACCTCCGAAGCTGCAGTTTAACCAACTCCCCCAAGAGAGAAATTGTTTAGTGCTGTTGGATACAGTGACCACTTCTAGAGTAGGGTTTTTTTTCCCTTGACTAAAATCCTAACTTTGTGCTCTATCCTCTTCCAGCAACATCATTTAACCTTCAGTAGGTCCTTTGAAAATCGGGCTCTCTGGAATCAAGCCACATAGGCACAATGTAATCCAAGGCTGCCACACACTCTATCCAAAGTGGCAATTAAGGCCTCAGTTAAACCACTAATCAGAAACTCAGAAACAAACTCAAGTTCCCTCCGAAATCCACAGGGATCCATAAAACTTTCATAGGAATGAGGTGGAATCCAAGTGTTGGTTCTTGCCTAAAAGTACGAGTTCAAGAATATGCTAGCTGGGCGAAGTGAAGCATTTAATGTGTGCATTAAAACACATGGTGCCTTTTCTCATTTTGAGAGGTTTTTATGTCTTCCTCTTTACAATAACTTATACAAAATGGAACATGTTTGTACGTGCCTGTATACATACACTGTGCATTTGTATTTCCAACACTATACTGTCCCATTCATAGGAATCAAGGCTTCAGTTGAATTTGTGTACTGTATTTTAAAAGCTGCTAGTGGCATATATGCATTTTGTGAATAGATTCTGTATTGCTTATCGATTGTAGAAGTACAGCTGCAACTACTCTATTGCTGCATTACATGGAAGATATTCGGCATTATGTGGTTTCATGAGATCATGTTCATGAACTAAAATAATTTTTATTTATGTTACTTGACCTCCATCAATTAGTATACTGCAAATGGTAAATGGCTAAGTATTTGCATGATTACATAGTGCAGGGGTAGGCAACCTCGGCTCTTTTATGACTCATGGACTTCAACTCCCAAAATTCCTGAGCCAGCTATGCTGGCTCAGGAATTCTGGGAGTTGAAGTCCATGAGTCATAAAAGAGCCGAGGTTGCCTACCCCTGACATAGTGTTAAAAGTCCACCCATCTTAAAGTTGTCAATTTTGAAGAACACCGGTCTAAACCTAGCACAACGAACTGACTCGCTTTCCCTCGCTAAGGCTCAGCGGCGTCTTGCTTTCAACCAATGAAACGTCTAGGTAGATTAGAGCGAATCAGCGTCGAGGGAAGGAAGGGCTGTTCTGCGCGCGCGGCTTCAGCCTAAGGAAGGCCGGGTCTCCCTTGTCGCATTACCCGTACGGGGTTTGATGACGTCTAATTCTTGCGTCCTCAACATGCTGCGCGTTTCGGGGCTGGGGTGGACTCTGGTCTCCTTGCAAGCAAGGGGCGCTCTGGTGCTGCAGGTGAGGGGCGCCTGCCTGGAGGCGATGCCGAGCTGACTTGGTTTACTAGCAGCGGTCCTGCTTGTGGTCTGGTTTCATCCAGGTCCCTAAGACTAGAGCAGGTTGCCACGTTTGTTTTTATAGGCGGAGATCCCTTTGCCTTTAAAACTACAGGCTTGCACGCGTGGGAACTTAGCGAGAGAGACTTCCCTATTTCTGCCTTGAGATTCAATTTTCACTTTATTCTTTTTTTTTAATTTCCCAAGGCTGTATTTGTTAATATTTGTTGTTTAGAATGGCAGGATATAAATTAGTTTGGTGTAGTGGTTAAGATACCAGGCTAGAAATTGGCCGGCTGGGAGTTTTAGTCCCCGCCTTGGGCATAAAGCCAGCTGGATGATTTTGGGCCAGTCCTCTCACTCTTCTCTCTCAGTTCCAGGGAGAATGCAAAACCACTTCCGAAAAATCTTACCAAGAAAACCGCAGGAACTTGTCTAGTCAGTCACCCGGAATCAAGGCTGACTGGAAGGCACGATCAGTCAATTTAGTGACTCTCTAATAGGGCTTATTTGAAATTGGAAGATCTGGAAGTAGTAATTCATGTCCTCATCATCTCAAGGGTGGACATGTGCTTTTCTTAGGGCTGCCTTTGAAAACTNCTAGAGGTTTACTCTTCCTTGGTAAAAGAGTAAACTTATGGTCCTCTTGACCGACCCAGATAGGATCTTCAATCTTCCCACCCCATGTGAACAATAAGAGAAAGGAGCCTTCTCTCTGATAGGTTGCAGGTAGTCCTTTTCAACAGTTGCTTCTACTCTAGAAAACTTTCCCTCCAGAAGTGCAAATGGCGCATACCATGTTATTCTTTAGAACAGTAGTAGAAACTCTATATTTTTGAAAAGGAGCTTTGGAGATTGATTTGTATATCATCTGTTCAGGGAAGGGCTCATTGAAGTAGGATGATTTTTTAAGGAAGTGTCCGGTGGTGCCCCAACTGCACAAGATGGGTGGTTGAGTGAGGAAGGGAGGTAGGAAAGAGGGAGGAAGGAGGAGTGGTGGTAGGTTGGGAGGAGGAAGGTGTGGTAAGTGGAAGAGGGCGGTGCGGGAGGGGGACACCGGACACATCCGTGAATGTATTGATTAATGTTATTTCTTTTGGTTGATATTGTGATAAAAGATCTATGTTTTTGTTTTTAAATGAAAAATTAATAAAAATTTATTAAAAAAAAAAAAAGAAGTAGGATGTTTTATTGCAGAATTGTGTGTTACAGTTTTTAACCTATTATTAAATATATTGTGATTTTGTAGATGTTGTATGTTGTATTGTAAACTTCTTAGGGTAGTTTATTACAAACATCATAATGAAAGAATAGAAGTTTGTTCCCACACTCTTAAGCTTCAGATTGTTGGGGGAACCGAGAGGTTTCTTTCATGCTTCCGAAGTCAGCTTGGCACTATGGATGACGTATCTGCCTTCTCCATTTCTTCAGCATCTGAGAAGAGCAACTCTTTTCTGTACGTTCTCACCAGTTCATAAGACTGCCTTACTACAGGTGAATTGGTACCTGCACATTCTCTTTGGGAATAGGCCTTCCCCAACAGAACTTTGTCAAACTTAGAATTCTGATTTTATGTTTCTCTGCCAGAGGTCATTTCTAGTAAGTTCAGTGGAATTGACTCCCAAGTGACTGTATGGGATCACTCCCTAATTCTTCTGCTTCATTTTGCCATACACAAATGGGTCAGTGGGAACTTCAAACCTTTTCATTTCATTTTTGTTTTCCCCCCTATAGCAATGGCATTTGCCTCGTTTCCTTCATGCTGGCATTCCTGTCCTGGCAGCAAAAGAAGCGCTGATGAAACTTAGGAAGAAAACTGGCTATTCCTTTGTGAACTGCAAGAAAGCCTTGGAAAAATATGATGATAATTTTGAAGAAGTAAGAATAATTTTTGTGTGTGTGACATTGTAACCCATATCTTTCATTTTCTCATTCTTTCTCCTTCTATCAACATGCTGCTTCCAGGTTCCAAAATCTTGCTTTAAAATATGAGTAACAGTTTTTGTTTTAAAGCAGCAGTTTTGTGCTTACTGACTAAATGGTAAATCCTATTGACATTAGAGAATTTAGGCTGGAGGGAATGTAATTAAATCTGTAGTGACCCTTGTTTCTTTTTGCCTTGAAAATCCATACATACTTTATAAGCAAATGACTTATAAAGTCACACTTTTGTACATTTTCTGTACAACTGACAGACCTTTATACAGATAAAGTGTGAGCAGGCAGGGAAATGCTCAGATATAGAACCACCCACTGCTGTTCCTGCTGCTCTGAAAATAATATACATGGAAAAACCTGAAATGTGATCAAGGAACTTTCCAGTGATTTTCTAACTTTCTGTTTACAAACTATCTTTGAAATAGGGACCACCCTTCAGAGCTATTTACCACTTTTTGTAGAAGTATAATGAGAGAATACATTTTTATTTATTTATTTATTTAGTGTATGGCGCACCATAAATAGACTAGCAATGTATATTAACATTTCACCTAGATAAGTAAAACACAATAAAATATAAATGTTAAAAAGATCTGTATTAACAGTTTGGAAACATTGGCTCATGAATCTGCTGAGTCCTTGACATTGATCTGGCAAATTCAAATAATACTCCCAATCTCTCCTGTCATTTGGGCCTGAAAAGGTCCATTTTTTGTTTTTGTTTTCATTGTCATGTATTTTGATAGCCAAGAAAGTCTACAGAGAAGTCTGGCTGCCAGAAGTTGCTAGTTCGTTTAGTTCACACTGTCACACTATCCAGGGTGCACCATGAGGAGATGAACTAATCTCATACCCTAATCTAATATCTAATACCCCCTCAATTAAACAACATCTCTGGGGAATACAGGAAATGGGCATTCTTTGTCATGGTGCTGCCCTCTTGGAACACTATTCCTGCCAAGACTTATATATCCCCCTCCAGGCCCTTTTTAAGTGAGCCCTTAATACCTGAGTCTGTCTCTAGGTCAGGAGTTTGAGTGGTAGCTCCCTTTGTTTTGATGGTTTAAATTATGCTTGTTCTTCTCTGGTAGGGTTGCCAGGTGTCCACTATTTGAGTGGACAGTCCACTTTTTTCACATTATGTTCACTATTTTTTTTCACAAAATAATGGACATTTTTTTATTCAAAAGCTTTATGATGAAATGGTACGTAATCTAAAGCTGTACAGTCTACTTTTTTAACTACTTAACCCACCCACCCACCGCTTGTCCGCTATTTTTTGGAAGCAGACCTGGCAACCCTATTCTCTGGTTTTGGCTTCTGGGTTATATATCCTTTTCTCTCTATATGTGTGTATGGGTGGATAGATAGATGAACGATTACATTATCTCTCATTCTGGGGCTTGTCTTCAAAGGCTGAAATCTGGCTGCACGAACAAGCACAGAAGGAGGGATGGAACAGAGCACTGAAACTTCAAGGTCGGAAGACAAAAGAAGGTCTAATAGGGGTGCTTCAAGAGGGTAGCTCAGCAGTAATGGTAGAGGTGAGTTTTTCCTTTGAATATTTGTTGGCCTTCAGGATGATTATGAAGGCCCTGTTTTCTCCCCTCCCCTCCCCCCCCCAGGAACTGGAGCCAGAATGTTTACAAAGATGGCATGAGGTGATTGGTGGGTGGGTGGATATTTTTTATCAGGGCCTCAGTGCAATTTATTGTTTTAAGTAGTTTTATTGAAATGTACTTTTCTTCAGAATTTCTTTTGGCTGATGGGCTACTAGATAAATTGGTTAAATAAATAAATATTAGACATCTTGGAGCAAGAATGGTTATATGGGAATTATATGGGGATATGCTTCCCTTTGACAACCGTATAGATCTGCTCTGTCTTGAACATGGTGTTCTTCGACGTTTTGGCCTATGACTCTCTTTCAAAGGGGTCTTCAAAATGTTCTACATTTGAACATTTAAAACGGTCTGCCTCAGTTATCTAGGTAGTGAGTTCAAAATGAACTATGTCAAACTTAAATTACTGCTCCCAAAACAGCCTATTTGAAATTCATGATGGGATAATTTGAACTTGAAATGGGTCTCTCTGCACCACTGTTTTCTGACCACAGGCAGCAGGACTAGTGATCAGGGATAGCAAGAAATGAACATTTGCACGATAGTTTGCTGTAATTCCTAAAAGCCTCCTTAGGTATAAGCTTGGAAGCAAGTGTTCTCTTGAAAAGCCCCTTTCTTTATGTCTCCACGTAACACTATAAACATAAATACTTGCTTTTGAGCCTGCTGAGGCAATGCGGGAAATATTCCTGATCTTTCCCAGATTCAAACCTCAGGAAATCTAATTTATCTAAAGTATGGGTCAGTTCACCGGTCATAGGTTGTAAATACATGGCGTGTTTAACTTCCTGGGTTTTCCCCTTTGTTTTTTTTTTATTATTATTGAGCAATACTGGCATTGAATGACATGATGCTGCTTCAAAGACAAAGAAATATTTGCAATAGTTTGGCAGCTGTTTTCGTTTTCTTTTAGTCTTGGGGGAACAGGCATTAGAGTACTGAGGATCCTTTTAGCAGCCATTTTACATCCAGTTCTTGTTAGACTAGCACAGCGGTTCTCAACCTATGGGTCGTGACCCCATTTGGGGTCGATCGACCATTTCACGGGGGTCGCCAAGCAAGGCTGTCCGCCATTTTTTTTCCCCTTTTCCGGTGGGTGCCTTACCTCCCTTGAGCTGGGCCAGCTGGTGGTCGGCCTGCTCCATCTCTGCCGCTTGCCAGCTACGCCTCGGCCGGCGCAGGGGGCGGAACCACGCATGTGCGGCGCTCCCGGGCAGGGAAAGTCCTCGACTTACGACCGGTTGGATAGTCCTCGACTTACGACCGGATTAGTCCTCGACTTACAACCGGTTTAGTCCTTGACTTAACGACCGGTTTAGTCCTCGACTTACGACCGGTTTAGTCCTCGACTTACGGCCGGTTGCGGGTCGCGGCATTAAAAAGGTTGAGAACCACTGGACTAGCACAAGCCTTACAGCAGTAGGGCTACTTTTAGAAGTAGGTCCAATATTAAGCTAATAATTAACTAGCTATATTGAAAACGCAATAAACAGAGAGCTGCTTTTTGACATTCAAATGTACACAAAGTAACAGTTAGCTGATTCATTGTAGTTTAGAAATACAGAATATTCTTACAGGGTAAGGAAGAGAGAAGAATGCTGTTGTCAGATTACCCAAAAGTTAGGATCTCACTTTCACCCAGCTCTGGACTTTGGGAACATCTCAGTGTCTAGCTCTATTTTAACCTCTTTAGCAATATAACTGGTGGTGAGATATTTCTAAGTTAGCCCTGCTTTTCTGCCAGGTAAACTGTGAGACCGATTTTGTGGCCCAAAATGTTAAGTTTCAACAGCTGGTTCAGCAAGTAGCGATTGGAACAATGATTCACCATAAGGAGACCATAGACCAATCAAACACATATGCTAAGGTAAGAATGATATACACACATGTATGTGCGAACAATATCTGGTAATTTTGAAGAATTTGATACTAACGTTGCATTTAAATCTTCTTGCCGGTTGGTTCTTAAGGGGGCACCTTCAAACGAAATTCTAGTTGGGCACTTAAAAATGTAGGAGATGTCAAAGGTAACTTTTTAGGTGGGAGCTGGCCAACATGGCACATGAGACTTAGCCTAAGAAACCAGTGCATTGCTGATCAGAAATAGGTATGTATTCCCCATACTAAGTGATACTAAGGTATCTCTCAGAAGTGCCTGCAGAAATGTCAAGTCAATTTCCTCCCTCAAATGCTTCTCCGTGAGTGTTGTTAAACTTATCTCATGTATTTTAAATTAATTTACTTTTTTTTAAAAAAATGGTTCTAGTACATTACATCAGGGGTCTTCAAACGTGGCCCTTTTATGACTTGTGGACTTCAACTCCCAGAATTCCTCAGCCAGGCACGCTGGCTGAGGAATTCTGGGAGTTGAAGTCCACAAGTCATAAAAGGGCCACGTTTGAAGACCCCTGCACTACATTAACTAGATAGCAGGTGGTCTTTAAAGACAGTTAAATACATTTTAAGTTAAATAACTTTTACAAGCCAGTAGCTGACAATTTCTGAAGCTTTCTAGATATGATTTGCTACAAGAGCACAACAGTCCTATGAAACAGTCCTATTTCTGTTTGCGGCTGGCAAATTGAATGGGTTTGATGAAAGAGAAATACTGCAAGAAAATACAGTAGAAGCCTTTTATTGATGTTGCTTGGGCACTGGATTACTGCTTCTTGCTGACATTTTGCTGCTGATGTGGTTTGCACATTTCTCTTCACTCCATTTTTGTTATTCCAAATTCCTTACCACATCAGAAGAAAAGCAATGCATACAGCCCAGTCGCTAAAACAAACCAGTCACTGGATTTACTTGGCAGGTTTCCATTAAAAAAATTAATTTACACCATGTTTGAATGTTTTGTAGCGTCTCTTAAATTCTGATGAGCTTTCTCAAGTCAGGACAGGACCAGAAGAATCATTGCTTACTGACCAACTCGCTCTGGCGATAGGTGAGTGTTTGGGGCCCAGTAATAGCCAGCAATAGTCAGAAGGGAGGGGCAACAATTTCCTGTTTTCATGCATTGTTTTTTGTCTTTTCAATGGATGGAATTTATGATAGATGGACAGACATAATACCGTGTTTCCTTGAAAGCAAGACCTACCCTAAAAATAAGCCCTAGCTTGATTTTTTGGGGTGGGCCTAATGTAAGCCCTACCCCAAAAGTAAGCCCTAGTTTTGGGGTGTGGCGCACACCTAAAAATCAAGCTAGAGTGGAGGTGGGGGGAGTGGAGCTGCCCCACGCGTCCTGTATCCGCTTACCGTTGCAGCCAGACCTCCTGTGAATCGACACCTGCCTCGCCTCTCCGGCCCACTTCTTCTGCACCTTTAGTGGTTCACGCTGTTCTCTCTGCTCCCTCTCTTTCCCCCCCCCCCCCACATATTAACTTTTTTAAAACTTTCTTTTTTCTTTCAAAGGCAAACTTGGTGAGAACATGGTTGTTAAGAGGGCAGCATGCATATCAGTGCCTGAGAATTTCTTCATCGGCTCTTACGTACACGGGTCACCCTCAGAAAGCAGCTCGTTGCTTTCCAACATGTTATTTGGCAGATACGGTGCCATGGTGATCTGCAGTTCCTCGGAGGAAGACCCAAAGTCCGACATGACTGAAATGAGTAGGAGGCTGGCCCAGCATGTGGTAGGCATGGCCCCTCTCTCTGTGGGCTCTCTGGAAGACGAACCCGGAGACGAATCCGAAACAAAGATGCTTGCCCAGCCATACGTTATGGAGCCAACTATTTCCTTGGGACAATACCTTCAGCCGAC